ATCAGTAACAGTGCAATTGATCTATTTTTCTTAAAATTCGATTGATTTTAATTTCATTGATGTACTTGTGTATTGATTCTCTCTTTCATCTTCCATCCATTAGAAACGGAGAAAAGAATATCGAACTCTCTTATCGAAATCGGTATTTCAATGTATACATCAAAACTTTTTCATAAAAAGGCGAAAAACTGGGCAAGTTTGAGATGCTTAATCCCTATACTGAATAGAATAAAATAATTTCATTATCTCCTTATTACACAATATTATATTCTCAATTACAGAACTATGTTCTAATTACATGTGCTTCATTTTTTTTCATACCGAATAAATTAAAAAAATAGTGTACATAACTACTTCAACAATAATATAATAATAATTATATTCTTGTTAAAAATAAAATAAATTCTTGACAGTTGTGAAATCGACGAAAGATGTAAAGTTTCCGTTTTACTTATATTGTTGTATGAACTAAACTTTGCTTTAGCTCGCTATAACGATCCCTTGATCCCCCAATCCAGTAGCCAGCGTAGCGTAGAGCGTAGCGTAGCTAGTATTACTGGCCCAGTAAAGTAACCGAAGTAACCCCAGTAACAGGATAACAGATGCGTGTATCGTGTGTAGATGTTGCGTATGGAACAAATAACAGTTACTTATATAGAAGAATTATATATTTTATTGTAATTTTAATTGAATATAATTTCCAAATTATATTTATTTAATAAACTGGTGTATCAGTAACGACCACTAGCAACTTCGTAATTTTGATAAAGATAAATAAAATATTACGGGAAGGTTATGAACAGTTTGAGTATGTGGAATGAATCATTCGGTTACCTAAACTTTAAATTAGACAGTGTTAAATGATTGTTACTATAATAGAATATTGAAAGAAAATTGATTTGTATTTTTGTAATGTTCCTTCACACTTAATGTTTGAAGTTTATATTTCAAATTGAACATTAGTCATGATTAAGGCTATTTTAGTGTTTAACAATCATGGAAAACCTAGGCTTTCGAAGTTTTACCAATATTTCGTACGTATAACCATAAATAAAAGTTTTATGGGGTAATTTATTGTAAGAACCAACAGAATATATATTTTTTAGAATGAAGATATGCAACAGCAGATAATAAAAGAAACGTTTCAATTGGTTTCAAAGAGAGATGACAATGTCTGCAATTTTTTAGAAGGTGGAAGTTTAATTGGTGGATCCGATTACAAGCTGATTTATCGACACTATGCTACATTATATTTTGTATTCTGCGTTGACAGTTCAGAGTCAGAATTAGGAATATTGGATTTAATACAAGTGTTTGTTGAAACGTTGGATAAATGTTTTGAAAATGTATGTGAACTTGATCTTATCTTTCATGTAGATAAGGTTCATTACATACTAAATGAATTAGTAATGGGTGGAATGGTCTTGGAGACGAATATGACTGAAATACTTACACGAATTGAGGATCAGAATAAATTGGAAAAACAAGAGGTAAGTAGTATTTTGTAATTAAGATAAAACAAGTTGATATGTGTTGTATGTTTAAGCTTTGGTTATATAATTCATCTGAAATCTGTTTCATGATATAGCAGTGCACTGTGATCAAGTTTAACTCGCTAAATCACAGTTGTGGTTACTAATTTGTTAGCAAATCAGTAACTTGTTGGGCCCAAATCAGTTTCAGTTTCTCAAAAGTTGACAGCCATAGAGCAATAATATTTTTATCAAACAACATTAACAATATTTTCGCAATAAATGTGGGCTTGAACAAGTTAAAAGTCTGCTGCTGTTTGTTCATTAGCTGTGTATGCTTTGGAATGTTTCGTAAAGCGAATTCATATGGTGATAGGACTGATTGAGCTAACATCACTTTTAGGGAACTTACAATTCAGGACGATCTTGTTCACCTCGTCCGTTTGTCCTTCTGGGGCCCCTTCCCTAAGTAAATCGGCAGTAAAAAAAATTCAAATCATTCTGTACACACTCGTTCCTTTATATAATTTATTTTTGATCTCTTTTACCAAGCATCTCAAGACATACAGTTACACTAATAAATATTCGTACATTACAGTATTTGCAAACTTATCCCTTTATATATTTAATTACAATACATTTATCAAATTTATTGTTATTCAGTAGATTAATACACTTAATTTGCTATACACAATTAAGTAAATAAATTCTATATTTTTTATTGATTATAGATGTCTAATTATAATCAAAACTAAGCACACTTGCCATGTTCACAGTAATATTCAGATATTAGATATATCTTGCAGATTTTATTCTCCTTAAGGAATTGATAAAGTAACTCTTTTTAATGTTTTGTGCACATAACGTTAGTAGTCGTTCGAAGAGTCAATTTACCTTAGATTTCGCTAGGAATATACTGCGATAATCACTCGAAATGGCAAAAGTAACTCGTTCGATGTTCAACAGTTAATCATTTATTACAGAGAAAAAGTTATTGAGTAATTTGTAATTTGTTAAATATAAGTAAAAATGTTGTCGCTGATATAATAAAATGATATAGGATCAAATTAATCCCGCAAAAAGGAGGACAACCATTATTTAATTCACGCGAAAAGTCTAAAATTACATGAAAAGTACAAGTAGGTCCCGAATTAGGTGCACCAAAAGTAACTGTACAATTCTGTGAGGACATTGAAAAAAAGTTTGTGTTAGTTCAGTTCACTCGAGTGTTGTACGATGTTGAATATTTTAGGGTTTGGGTTATTTATTAAGGTAGTCTGAAAGAAATCGTTCATAAATGAAATAAGTCTGAAGAAACGATTAACGTTTGTATAGAAATTTGTTTATGAAGAATAAGAGTGATCGTAAGAGGAAAGAAGTACATTCATCCGTTCAACTAGAATAAATTCGATAAATGCATTATAATTAACATTATAAAACGATAATTTTGCAAAATACAAGTACATGGCAGTGAGTAAAATTCATTATTCCCGAATTTGGAAACTTCATAACAAGGAAAGAAATGTTGAAAATTCAATAAAAGAATGGAAACTAAACATCGCAAAATTATTTAGTTATAATAATTTCTAAAGTGCCCAATCTTTTAATTGAAGTAATTCGACAGAATGGATACTT